ACAAGTTCACAAAGTTTGGAACACAACAAAAGAAGCGGCCTTACCCTGGAAATGAAGGATTCGGGATGAAATCGTCGTTGCACTCGTCGTTACGCCTTTCTACGCTTGAGGCCGCTTGAGTTTTCTTGCACTGTCGTTTTCAAAACCGTCCAAGATCTGGATCCCTGAACTGTACACTTTACAAACTGGCAAGCTGGCTTTCTACGAGCTAAAGATTGCCAGAATAATCCAGTCAAGTCGAACTCTTAGATTGAAGACCTGTCCTGTCTGTCGATGGCAGGCCCAAATCTGTCAAGAAGAGCTGCCTTGCCTTTGAGTTGGCATGCAGGAATGTTTCATTTTGACTGATGCGTTGGCCTCTCACACATAAGCGACGACAAACGTCGTTCGTGGCCCGAGACTCCCGCACCAGGCCAAATTACCCTAGACAGAAAAAAACCAGCTTGATGCCGTGTCCGTGCACATTTGAGCTTCACTCGCTGCGTAAGCGATGAATGTGACTGCCGTTCAGCAGCTATGAATGTCATTGCACGCTAGAGCATTCATCGGATGGGATTCGATCTATGCTGGTGGCCCGGGACCCGCGGCTTTGGGCCGAAATGCCTTTGCCATTCTTCGATGGTGGCGCTTCATTTCCCTCAAAGCGCCCGGAGGACAAAGGTGGCAATGCTGGCAATCCACTCCCCGGTAACAGCTCCCTGGCCGCCAGAACCATGCGCACGGCTTGCAAAGACCCTGTGAATGAAGTGCAGAACCCTGAGAAGGTCTCATTGAATAAACCTCACATTCCGAAGCGCTGGGGGACTCTGCCTTCGGCTGCCACATGCCCGCGGGGAGGTCGACGGCATCGGCATCACCCACATCATCCATGGTGCTGCAGGTGGTCAAACGCTCGAAGCAAACCATTGCATCCTTGGATTTGCTTATTTTTGAACTGCAGGAGACAATAGCTCATCTCCCCCACAAAAGAATTCATATGGATTCATATAGGAAACATATTGGAAAATAACAATCCACCCAAAACAAAACCGGGCATCCATCGCCACCCCCTTTAAATTGCTTGGGACGGCATGGTCATCTTCGGAGGTCACGCGGCCACCGTCACCACCGCGGTACAGCAGTGCTGGGGCACTGGCACACCTCGACATCCTCAAGTCGTGTTCAGGGAGGAATTCCAAAAAGGTGCCCTGCTCAACCAAGCGAAAGTCCCAAATCTCTTCATCCATGGCGGAAGATTCTCTCGCGCAGGGACAGGAAGCTTTGGAGGCAGAGCCTTCCTGGCCTTCCTTCGCTTCCTTCCAGTCTTCGCACGACTCGTCACTCGAATCCTCGTTCCGCCGCACTTCTGCTCGACACATGGGTCTGAGGGCTTCCAAACCAGAGTCTAGAGCCAAAACGGCTCCATCCTAGATGTCTGGGTACATTATCCTATAATATAGTGACCGTAACATGTAGAGCATGTAGATACCAAAAGCAAATCCCTCCCGAAATGTGTTCAACATTATTCAACACCGTTTCTCTCTAAACATATGCATATAGTAAATCATATAGTAAACTTCAATATTCATTTAATTACACTTGGGCTGTGGACTTCTCACTCAAGTCTTGCTCCCGCCTGGTGCGCGAGCGCACGGTGCGACAAGGCTCCTCAAAAACCACGCCGATTCTCCCATCCATGTCGGATTGCTCATGGTCGGCCGATGCAAACGAAATGCATCCGTTTGGTCGAGTTTGCTTGGTTCGGAAGGAAGCCTCGCCAAAAGGCCTGAGTGACCCGGTTTCGACACTGCGACTCCATCACCGATGTTGGTGCCCGAGTGAAAGAGCTTGATCCAAAGGTGGCCAGTTTGCACACAACGACCTTGCATTTGATTGACCCAAAAACACCTCTGAGGGTGTGTTTGGGGTGAGATTGATCCACACGATCCACTTCCGGTGTCTTTCAGGACGGACCGGTGGAAAACCGGTCGGACCCAACGAGGTGGCCACCGGAAGGTGACGGTTGCCCCAAACAGGCCATTGGCCGCCCTTGGCTCCAGAATGCACGTCCAGGAAGATTGCAACATGCGCTTTCACTCGAGTCTACGAAGAAATTCGTCTGTTGGGCTCGAACTTGAACTCCAACCATCTTCCCATATTCCATCAAGTTCAGAAGACAATCCCGACCACACACTGTACCAGCAATGACCTTTGGACATTGAACAGTGTCAGTACCGCAACTGTCGTAACGAACTCCAACGCCCAAAACCATCGCCGTCCTTGCGTTGGTCCGCTATCAGCCAAACGCCTTGCGAAGGCGAGCTGGTTGGAGTGCATGCTTTGGTGGGCTGGCTGAGGTCATGCGGAGCATACACACTAATAGCAATGGCCTCCGACCTACTAGCGATGGCCTCCAACTTAAGAGCAATGGCCTCCAACCTACTAGCGATGGCCTCCAGCATGACGAAGACCTTAATGGGGAACTGAACTCATGTCATGTTGTGTAAATTACAATATACAAAGTTCCACAGGTGTTGCATTTCATCGGACTTTTGTTCAGGAGGTGTAAGCTGTGTGGTCTCTCGCCAGGTTCGAACGCAGGACTTAAGCCCTGAACAGCCCACTGACTGCACCCTGTGCCAAATCGGGATTGAACTTATGGCACAAGGTAAAATGCAATAACTAAGTCTTAACAGTTCATAGCCAACATGGGAAGCAACTCACTGGCAGCCTCTTTCAAGGAACCAAAGAAACTAATCTTTCAGCCACAAAATATACAGCTGCTGAACCACTCAAAAAACTCTCAGGATCTCTCAATGAAGTCGAACAAGGCAAACAACCGCACAAAACTGATGCAATAATTACTGCCATTCTTATCCATTGGTCTTTAAATCTTCAATGTCAATCATTGAAATCGTCTTCTTTGTCTTTTGATCTGAGGTCCTGACAATCACTCTGAGGATACTTATGTTTGCGCCGTGTGTTCGGTCCCGAACACCCGCTCCCGACGGCTCCGGACGGCTCCGGGCGCCTGGGCAAGGTCAAGGGCGCTCCTCGGGGCTTGGGTCCACCCACACTGGAGGCGCGGCGCTCCTGGCGTCGCCCGGCACGGAGGGGGGGGGTTGGACGTCCACGTTCTCCAGCCGCGCACGTGTCTTTTTGAGGTGAAAGAGTGTGGTGTGGTGCTTCGGGCGCCGTGCATGTTCCGTTTTGCGGACCGAAGAGAGTCTCTATTTTATAGTTTTTGGCACCACATCGCGATGTTTCCTTTGCTCAGGGTCGAGTCTCGTACAAAAAACAGTTGGATAATGAGTATAGAAATTTTGCCGAAACCAAACAATGAACGCCCAAAGACTTGCTAGGTGAAACTATAACACAAGCCCAGGTAGACTATATATAGATATATATCTTATCCATTTCGATCATTGGTGTGTGTTGTGCGTGTCACCGTGTGTCACTGTCGCCCTCCCCACCGCACGGATCCCCCCCGCGGGCCGGTGTCGGCGCGCTCCGCGGAGTGCTGGTCCTCAGCGGTGTCGGCGTGCGGTGTTGGAACCGGCCAGCAGAGAAACCCGCCACCCCTCCCCTACCTGGCAAATGCATGCAAATGTCATTATATCAATGATAACCTATATGGTACAAACTCAAACCAGAAACCCTGTTCACAGGGACGCCTGTTAGGCTGTGGGAAGATGTGAGTCGTCAGACTGGGCCCATTTGGAGAGAGAACAAGACTGGACGCTACGAACGGAGCGGTCGGACGCTACGAGGGCCGGGGCGAAACTGGCCTTGCTACTAGTAGCCAAGACATGGGACAAATCTGAGGTTGGACATTAATAGGCTAATTATGGCTGATGGATGTTGATGGGATCCATCCTCTGCCGAGGCACCTTGAACCCTCAAACACAGTCTTGAAAACACCATGTCTGCAAGCGTCTGGCCAGGTGGCTAGGTCTTTAGTCATGGATGAGAGTGTTGGCAAACACAGCTGGCCATATGAGGGACCAGTCTGCAAATGCTGGCCTGGCCAGTTCTTCATTTGTCACTGGATTTACTTACCTTGTTGGGGTCCGTTCTCTGACCATGCCCTTCGACGCTCGCCGCGACACTTCCTTTTTGTTCCCTCTTTTGCACACAGCTCAGAGCTTTCGGCAGGAGGCATGGAATCCAACGCCAGCCTTGGTGACTGGCGACGATGCCCTTGTATTTACCGCAAGTGTAATTACATCCTCAAGGCAACGTCATCGGCACATCTGGGTCAGATTTTGTTCTCCAATGGCTATCCGTTGGAAGCTGTGGAAATGACGAACAACACGAAGGTTACAAACGACTGAAGAGCCCGTCTTCCCAGACTCAGCCAAGGGGATGCTGCTGAGGCTGTTAAACCCGGTGAACTCAGAAGCTTAGTCTAGTTTGTACGTCATTGTACGTCCATTTCCAGGACCTTCAAAGTGACCTCTTTGGTGTCTCTAAGAGACCTGTTCAGTGACTATAACTGACCTCATTTGGGATTTCAAAAGGTCACATGGAAGGTCATGGTCCAAGTCCATGGTTTTTGACTCTTGTAGGTTCGTAGGGGTTTGTCGCGAATTCGAAACCCGTCAAGGTTAACCTGTATTTTTGAATCCAGTACGCACGATCAACAGAAACAACTCAATTCACACTCCCAAAACGGCCACACAAATGGCTCTGCGTTCACCCTTCCAGTCCTAATCCAAGGCCGCGGCCGCAATTCCTCCAATCCGCCAATCAGCCAACCCAGTGATTTAGACAAAAAACTCAATGCCAAAGCCAGTGAAGTTACTAAAGGAGTCCAACAAATAGCTAGAAACAGGACATATAAACCTTGAAACCATGAATAGTCCTTGAGACATGTTATTTTGATCACTTTTGATCCATCAGTGCGCGAACAAAACCAATCGTTGGTCCGACTCTCTCCACAGCACTGTCCCCTCGGTCCATGCAGCTTCCAGTGACCCATGGTGACTGGATGGCCAGGCATCTCCAGACATCTCCAGACTCTACGGGCTCGCCGCCAGTTCTCCATCCTCCTGCCAGCTCGCATCGCTTCGCTTCAGCGCCAGGCCTGACGCCTAAAGGTCGTCGGGAGTCGCGACCGCGGAAGGTAGGCTAGGTGCCCAGTTCGCCGAACAGGCGCTTGAAGGACCTGGATGTGCATTCGGTTGCATTTCTAATGGAGGAACAAGGAATTTATTCTGCGAGTCAACTAAAGGAAACAAACAGTTCAAAAAAACTTTAACAAGTTCAAGGGAATTTGCACCTTGGCTGAGATCTGTGGGAGCCATCATCCAAGGGCTTCAAACAAATGATTGGCAATAGGACAAACCTTGGCCTGATGCACGTATACTTTCATGTACTTCAATCAACGTTTTGGATGATTCATGTTGCTTGCATGAACACCCAACCCAAACCCTTTGACAAATTTCAACATCTGAGCCCTCTGATGCATGATTATGCCCCCCACCCCAGCTGCACCGCTGACTATTTATACATTTTCATCTTGATTCTTGACTTTACGATCTTGGTCAGAAGAGTGTCACATGTTGGACTTGGGTCAAAGCCAGTCATGTCTTGAAACAAATTTTTTGACAAAGAAATGCCTATCAGAGTTAGGCAGTATAGGCAGGGTTTGGTGCTGTCCATGATGAACTAGGTCGGCTGCATATTCTAAGCAACACCCAACTCAATCTGTTGCTTGATATGGCATGCACAAATCACCCAGAACGACTGCTAAATCCCTTCTTTCTCCGCCCCATTAGCCCACGGCCGCTCTCCCGCTGCTCGCCAGGTCTCTGGATGAAAGAGGCCTCCCAGGCGTCCGGCCGCCGCTGGGGACTGCAGCACCGCAGCGGCGAATTGGCCCATGAAGGGCAGGTGCCCTACTAAGACCTGGCTGAACATCAGGGCCGAATGAGCAGCTATAGGGTGGGTAGGGGTAGACGAGGTACGGATGAAGACTGGAGAAATTCAGGAAAGGTCAATCCTCACCTGCACTCCATGCACTTGGCAAGTTTGCCCGCAATGATTGGGCACAGTGATGCAACATGAAGTAGCCCTCTATCCTCCAAGCTGGTGGAACGTGCGAGCCACACAGATCATAGCAAAAAGTGCTGTGGGCAACCCCTCCATTGGCACCATTTCCTCGAGACCTGCCTCCCCTGCTATCAAGTCGAGATGCTATCACCTTTGCTTTGGGTGAAGATAACAGCCTCAGTATCAGCAAACATCTTCAGACATGGTTGGCGGTTCAACCAATCACTCAATTTCTGTCACTCTTATCTGCTGCCTCCCGCCACGTAATATGGCGTCCAGTTTCTGAGGGAACTTGTACTTCCAAAAGCTTCCTAGGCCCATGGGTTGTCATACCAATACTCGGAAACACACACAACGCAAATTCTGCTCTTGTGCCTCAACAGTTACACATCCTCCCCCAGTGCTCAAGCAGTTGAATAACATGATTGTACACAGAAAGGAAAACACTGGAAAACAACTGATGCAAAGTCAGTAATGAAAACAATGAAGGTGATGGGAATGAACCAAAAAGCAACAACACCCTTCATGTCATCATCAGCATCTGCCGCTGGTCCATCTTTCCATCCAAGAGGCTCCATGGCCGCTGTTGGGTCATCTTTTGGGTTAATTCCACTCACCTCCTCGCAGATCACCTGACATCAGGGACGAGAGGTAGAGGGACTGATGAAGGTGGGGGCAGATCCCAAACGAGCAGGGATGGTGTTCGGAGTTGTTCACTGGGTGAGCGACAGAACACTGCAAGACGTAGGTACAAGAATGACAGCACTGGAAGAGGGGAAATCGAGTCCGCATTGAAGTCTTCATAAGTCTTCTAGTATATGATTGGATGAAAACATCATAGTTGAATCCCATGATTCAAATTGGCTTGTAGGTTGAAGCTGCATGTTTTCCTTTTTTTCTCAACTTCCTCAGAACCTCCACTGACATATCTGACATTTCTTGAAGTGCCTTGCACAACAAAAGTGGCAAAAGAAAATCCACTCGGCTTTCACCCTCCTCCCGCATCGGTGTCACACCGGTCACACCCGTGTCCGCCTCTCGCCCCGCCGCGCGCAGGGCGGATGCCACGGACTCCGCAGTTTCTTGGGCGCGGAGCTTGCCGCTGTGGCCCAGGAAGATCTGAGTTTTGGGAAATGCTTCAATTGACGATCACTGACGTTTTGACATTCATTTCATGATACATATATATTATACATACATGGGTGATTCTCGTGTAGAAGTAAGACTTATGGTATCAAAGTTGGTCAGTTTGACAACTAAAAGAAAGGACCGTTTGACTGTTTTTCTTGTTGTCCAATGGTGTTTTGATGTGTTTTGTCCAGATTGTGCAGTCTCCAGATCTCCATCACTGTGTTCCGTGCTGGGCCCTCGGTGGAAGACATGTAGCTGGTGACCTTCTTTGCCACGTCCTCCTCGGCGTGAGCGACTGGCGCTCGCCGAGACAGCTGGGAGGATCAGCAGACCAGAAGACCGTAAAACCATCCCATTCTCTATATAATAAGCACATATAAGTTCATAAAAGTCATAAAGTTATATAGATATATACCTTGATTGATCAAAACTGTGAGAGGTCCTCTTAGTTCTGCATGTCTAGAGTGCCTTGGTTGAAAAAGGTCGCCTCTTATGGCGTCAATGCGTCCATTTTAGATTCTGTCGATCTTGGGAGCACCGATTGACACGGTACATCTGAATCTTCTGGGATTGATGTCCATGCAGGAAAAACATGAATGAGTCTTCCCTCTTTGGACTCATGCTCATATTTAAGCGCCGTGCGTTGACCAAACAATTCCGTTGATGAAAGAAGCCAAATCAAAAGCAGCAATATGACAATATACCAGTCTGAAAGGGGAACCTGCAGCCAAACAAACGTAACAAACATCAATCAAGGCATCTATCTTGAAAGGCAAGCAACGCTATCTGCATCAACAAATGTTTCACAAAGTAATATGATCTGTGAACAACTCCTGCATCGCTAATGCAACCCTACTTGGACTCCCACTTTGGACGCTTAAAAGTACCCTTGACCATGGATACTTGACAAGTCCAAGTCCATGCACAGCTCAGGTATGTTGGAATATCCAGGTAGGTAGATCTCTACAGTTCTGTATATGGAGAAACTGAGGTCTCGATCATCCCACAAGCTCCAAGTACTGCATCTTCCCAGTCCATCCAACTTATCCTAAAGCAACCAATACCAACTGCAACAGTGGCGAGCTCTGTTGCAAAATCTCCGGATATCACGGAACATCATTGCCAACATCAACATCCTCAGCTGGTCTGATCTGTAGCCCCCTTGGTTCACCAAGGCGCTGCTTCTCTTCGGCCCTGCTCCGAGAGCGGCCGCTCCGGATTCTCCTCTTCCGGCACGGGCGTGCCATGTCGAAGCAGCAGCAAATGGCTGGCCTTTTCACAGCTCGGCGGTGTTTCAACTGGAGAAAACGTCCGAAACGCCGATGACACGTTGGCATCCATTGGGAGGGCTACGGACAAGAGGGACTCTTGATGGGACGAAGGATGCAACAGGTATCAACAGGTTATGTAATGTGTTGATTGTGTTGTGCTTTTTCATCATTGCCGGGAATCAACCAGCAAAAGGACACATGTATTTTTCTTGAAAAAATCACAACCTCCACGACTCCACGACGCGCTTTCCACATTTCAGCTGCAGCCCAAGGGCCATCTTAGATGAGCGGATGGCCAATGCACGCGATTTCTTGAGCCAAAAAAGGATGTGCGGGTCTGGATGGTCTGAACTTTGTTTATTTTAACTGCCAAGTAAGCGTGGAGCTTTGATGACTTGCCCACACAGTTGACATAAATCCTGCATTTGCATATTGATATTACAATATATAAGCCCTGCTTTTATTCAGTTAAGCTTAAACTTGAGGACTTGCCTGATCTAGCCCAGTTGCTGCAAACATTCAGTACGCGGGTCCCCGGGATGATGGGTAGCATCACTTGTTTTGGAGGGAGTTCTACCAGAGTTTCCTTGCTCCTCAGAATAAGTGGGGTAGACCCCGTCTGCCCCGAAGCAAACCATGGCATACATACACGACGTTACTTTGTAGTCTCTATGTCGCCTATACGGAGTGATGCGGGAGGTGATGCCAATCTCAGCTGATTGAAGTTGGTTTGGCCAAGAAAAGCCGACGTCTCTGGTTTCTTGATGTTTCTTGGCTTCCCAGCACAGCTCCCAAGGCCAGTTTGGGCACCATGCACACGGCCTTGTGAGAGAGTGTGCCACAGTTCGCGCGTCCAGGTTTTGCTGGATGACAACTTCGCATACACTCTAACTCACCATGAGATGTGAGTAGGTGTTAATTGTTTTTTTTTTTCGGAATGTAACTGCCATCCACTTGATGACTCCAGGGACAAACGCAGGCCTTTGACAGCCTTTGACAGGGATCAACAGGACCCACAGGACGAATGGGCCAACGGAAGCGCGCGAGCTTGCTGGCTGGCTTTTTTTGGGGGGGAGCGAGCTGCTGAGCACTTCAGAATGGAACGTAGCGTCACTTCCAAATGAATCAGCACTTTCCCTATTTTGCTGAGCACTTCATGCCGCTTCATGCCCAAATAAATCCATGAGTAACACATCCATGCAGGTGGATACTGGTAGATGTCCAAATGAATCAGTCCTTAAACTCACAGCAAACCGCCCAATGGGTAGGCAGGGAACCACCCATTGGGAGAACCTTGCAGTGATTCGAGAGTCGCTTCAGCCCTTGGGCCACTGCCTGGTGCCCAGGCGGCGCCGAGGCCGCTGCCGGCGCTGCACAGCAAGCGCCTGCGACCGCGAGTGTGGGGCCTGAAGGGACTGCCAAGTCCTTTTTGGAGGTCATTCAGATTCTGTAGGCTGGCAAATAGCATGTGCACACCAAATGGCAACATGACCCACGATAGGCCCAATGGGTCTATCTTCGGGTGTTTGTTTCACATTGTTTCACTTCCATAGTAGATTCTGTGAGGTCAAGGAGTTGTACACGCAGTTTCGGTTTGGGTTGAAAAGCATTGACTTCCAAAGCAGGGAAGCCTTGGAATGATCTGATTTGGGGAACGCATTCGCATTCGGTGGATTTTGATGGCTACACTCCGATCACCTTCACATGCTGCATTCATGTATTCTGTATTCTTCCCTATGGATCCACATACCTTCTGAGGAGGTGATTGGAGACTATGTAGGCTTGGAGGGGTCCAATTACCTTCTGAGAAGGTATGTGGATCCATATGGCTTCTCACTTCATGCTGGTATGCATGAGGCAAACAGAGATGCCAATGAGTACAAAGGTGCTTTCAGAATGCCGATGATGGTCGGTGGCTTTTGGACACATGTGCTGTCGGTGGTCTGGGACGAACAATTTTCAGACTGTGAAGAAAGAAGAGTGCTCACAAAGGGAAACAAAACGTCAGGCTTGCACAAATGAACTTGAGCTGGCCATTCAAATTTGGAATGTCTCAAGTTCCTCTTAAACCGTTTTGCAAGACTCCCACTTCAGTTGAACATAGGTTAAACCTGTGGTCTTTGGAGCAAGTGTTGTTCACTTCAGATCGACACCGCCACATCTACACGGTGATGGCACAGGACCTTCGTACTCACCATGAAGATGCTGACTATAGTGCCTATAAATATATGTCAGTAGGGATTTCTCTCAAACCGGTGATGACTCGTCTTGCAGATGGGACAGACCTGAGTCTTCTTCGCTTCTTCACAGCTCGGTGCGTTTGACCCCAGTGCACCTGTGGTGTGCCAAGGAACAGGCGTTGGTATCGATGCCTGGCGAGAAATACCCAAACCAACGGTGCAACACCAGTGGCGTGTTACCTCAAATGCTGATGCTGTGGGACCAGGAGACTCATCAGCAGAAGGATCTTGTTTGAAGTCAGATTTATTACGGCCTATTGGGTCAAGGCTCAAACGTCATTGAATGCCTCCACCTTTGGGCTTCTGTGCAAAACTTGCCATTGCGAGAGTTTCGCAAGTAGGATTTCTTTCCAATCGTTGGCAATGCTTAAGCTTGGGACATGTTTTAATGCAAAAGCACTCCTGCCATGATTGTGTAGCAAAATGCTTGCAAGTCCCCTTCCAACTCACTACAGTAGTGATCAACAATCCGGATGGTGTTGAGTCGCAAACCTAGACTTCCAATGACTTCCAAACCAGGAAACCAATGAACGTTGAACGAATGAACCGTACTAGTTTCAATCCTTTTGTGATGTAAAGTGCCTATACTATACAGTGCTGCAAGTATATCTGTGCTGGGGCTTTATTTGTGGGCCAGAAGTTGTGTCAATGGCAAGGCCTCGCACGAAACCAAAGGGTTTCAACCTTTCAAACTTTCAAACCTTGGTAAATTGGCCCTGGCAAATTGGCCATAAAAACCAGAGGGTTTCATCCTTTACCAAGACCAAAGGGTTTCATTTAACAAGTTGGCCTTGGTAAATTGGCTCCGCCTCTGTTTTCCATCCAAGAGCCACGACGCTAAGGACGATCCCCTCACCACAAATCATGCGTCACACCAATTGCCTTTGCGAAGGCTACGGGTCCATCTTTTTAACAGTACTCAAATGAGGATGGCTCAAACAGTGGCTTAACAATTAATAGGGGAACTCTCCAAACCCATTCATTGTCATTACAAGAAACACTCACTAAAAATAGAACAAATTTCCATAGACCAAGACCTGCCAGTCGTGGGTAAGCCACACCCAAACCTCCTCCGCCCACCGGCAGAACGCCTGCGGCACCGGACTCGCAGCCTTCGGCACGCCACGGGGGGCGACCAAGACGGGCGCTGAGAAGACACGCCTGGCGGTGACTCCGGTGACCCTGAGGTGTCGAATGAGATCCTGGTCTTGTGTGCAGTATGTGGAATGCGAGCAAAATACACATGACTGCCCACAAAATCAGCGCAGTCGTGTGAAATCCAAAAGACCTTTTGTTTGTTGGATGCTCCAGAAAGCAGTCACTCGAGTGTTCTATACATGTCATGATGGACCTGGGGTTGCCTTCGACCCAGACTTGCAGCGCACTCGGTCTGCTTTGAGGACCGTTGCGCATCTTTCTTAGTTAGAGGGCTCACTGCGCACATCTTGGAAGAACTGTGTGAAACTGTCAATCTCTTCGTCTGATGCACATTGTTGCTTCTTCAGCAATTTGGGCAACTCGCTCTGAACAGCAACGAGAAGGTCTTCCATTGGCTGATCTGAGTCAAGTCGGATGACATTGGCTGCAGAAGATGGGTAGAGGGCGGCATACTTGGCTTCAATGTCCGTCAAATAGTCCTGGGTGATATATTCTTCGCCTGGACGATTACGCTCTTTGATTCTCTCATGAGCTTTCTGGACTGAAATCTCGAAGAAAACCACTGCATGAGGTTGATAGCATTTTTGTCCACGGATATTAACGTGGAACTTCCTTTGCATCTCATCTCGGGACTCCTTGAGAAGTTTCCCCTTCTTAAAGGTGAGCTCGTTGAACACATGAACCTTTGCTTCCATTGATCTCTCCGAAATCAAATGTGTTCTTCTCAAGTCTGGGTTCGTAGCCACTTGATAGTGGTGATCAAACATGGTTTCTTCGAAACGAGAACTCTGGGCACGCTGCTCGTCCGAGGCATCCTCCCCCGCTTCCACAGCATTCCAGAATTCAGTCAGATCACTTTCCAGTTCTTTCAATGGCTCCCTGATCACTCTGACTTGCTGGTGCCCACTTTTCTCATTGATCTCCAAGAGTTTCTTCATAAAGTCAGACTTTCGCGACCCGATGTTGCCATCGATACACACCAGGATTTTTGTTGCTTTGTCTGCTGGTATGCTAACGAGCTGATCCCCTTTCAGCACCAGAAAAAATGCAAACACCTCGTGAGCCTTCACCCTTCAATCGTTTCAGTACCTGCTTGGTGTTTTCATTCTGAAGAATGGTGCCATCCAGTGTCAAGTCGAAGTCAACAACCATTGAATTGAGTTCACAAAGCAAAGCTTCTCCAAGGTCATGCAAGTCAAGAAAGTCTGGCAGGCGATCAAATTCTTTGTCTTTTCTTGGATAGCCCCTGCCTTGAAGCCAATGCATGAGTTTGACTGCAACCTTCATTGAAGCGGCACTTTGATTGGATGCAGTGGTCTCCCGTGTCTCACTATGCATCTGCGATGAGTTTACATCGGAGTTCTCTGGGCAGAGTCTCATTACTTCACTCATAGCAGACCGGATGTTGTCGAGTTGTTTTGTCAATTTCCCGACTTCCTCTGTGACTGCTCCTGTCCGCAGAAATGGAAGTTTCCCGAGCTGTTCTTCATACTGCCGAATCAAACGAATCAACCCCTCTGCCTCTGCGCAGACCAAGGGGGGCGTAATCTTCTGGCTGAAAGCCGCCACGTGGAGGTTCTTGTATTGCAGGCAGTTGAAGCTGAAGCTGGCCGGCCACTTCTCCCGCCAGCAAATAGATCTCGTGCGCGCTCTGGTAAGACAAGCGACGATTCTCCCCAATGCCACAATCACAACGAGTTTGGATCGAACGCAAGTTATTCAACACTTTGTCCATGGTGCTGAAGGACCAGCGATAAAAAACAGTTGACACTGCAAAGAAATTGAATTGGTGGTATTGGCCAGCATGTTTTGTTTGAGAAACATGTGGTGCACGACTATATAATACATCAATATACATCATAATCTGAAGCTCAAGTGATAGCTGCGTTACATTCATCTCACAGCATGAAAATGAAGGATCTGAGTGCTAGTGTCCTGCGATGTAACACTGTAACAACTCCCCCAAATGTGGACAGTGCAGATGCAATTCGCAGCCAAGTCAGCAATTTGTCACAACACCAAACATGGACTTGTGCACCACCAACCCAAGCAACCTCGACACATGTTTGTCACAGGACCAGCCGCAGCAGTGCGTCAATGCGTTTCAGTGAGACGCCCTCAGGCAGCTGGAGGATCTCGCCCTGCTCTTCGAAGCCTAAGGCTTTCATGAAGTCCTGACACTTACCCCACTGAAGACTAACATAGACCCTGAAAACCACTAGATTGTAGAGAAATTTTGAGGGTGCCAAAACCACAGGGTCCATGTTAGTCTCCGGGAGTGTAGGAGGTGACAAATCCAACGGGCAAAAAACGGAACCCGTTAGGTTGGACGATTGAAGTGAGTTCCGATGTTTGTCCTCTTGTTTTACCGTGCGCATCTTCTGCCTCAATCGACTACATGCAGTGGATTGAACCAAGATATGAATACAGATGAATGCAGCATATTACAGTACTTAAATCCATCCAATACTGGCAAAAGAAAGCTGATTAGAGCGAGTTCCGTCTTCAGTTGGGGTCTATTTGGAAGTCGATGTTGAAGAACTGTGAGGTGCAGGTTCAGTTCTAAAACAGAAAGCTCGGAGTGAGAAGAAAGCCTCTGTAAAAAAAACTGTAACAGGGCACCCTATTTCAATCGGAGAAACCGATCTCTTGGCCTTGTGTCCGATCGCTACAGCCTGGGACTGAAGTGCGAACGGTGCCATTGTGTTTGTCTGGTCACTCGGCAGTCCGTTCTGTCACTCAAAACAAGCTCACGCCCTCGAAGCTGACGCAAGACAAGTGTACAAAGATTAAAAGTCAGTCCTGTGTAAGAATAGCCGCCCACATAATTCCTATGTTTCCACCAAACCGCCCGACTCCTAAGCAACTATTTGCGAGCTTCTTCTACTTGTGGGTCTTGGAAGGTCTTGAACGCTCCACTCGTGGGGCCCAGCTCATGTTGGCCGCCCGAACAGCAGCCCCTCTCTTTCAAGTGGTATGGGTTTACCATGCCTTGTGTCAGCTGCACAAGAAGTGCAGTTCTACCGGAAGCAGGGGTCTACTATGGCCGTCCTCAGCGCCAGGGACATCGAGTATCTTCTCTTTGATGGCCTGCATGCGTCGATATTGGTCAGGACCCCTGGCCTCAAAAGTGTCGCAACCACCAAGGAAGTGTCCTTCAGTCTTCCTTTGTCCGATTAAGCGTTCCAGTACGTTCCAGTGCTCAGGTGTGATGACTTATCCATGCAACCAGCGATTTGGAGGACTGGGATGACGAGTCCTGAGCTCCTGGCCTTTTCCCCCAGCGCCTTTTATACCGCTTTTCGTGCCATCTCTGTCTCGTGCTACACTCTCTAAATTGAACAGACCAAGCACTGACAGGATCAACGGATCGATCTCGCCGTCCCTGACGGATCGACGCATCCAGCGCTGTCCCCGTGACCCTCGCGGAGCCTGATTCTCTCGGCGGACCTGGCGGTACTTGGCGTTCGTGGGGTCCTTCTGGACGTTGGACAGCAAGCGACCTGGAAACCCAGGCTGACATGCTCATACTGTCCTCTGACACATCCCAAAACTATACTATTCTAAGTCTTTCATGGCAGTCATCCTTCAAGTTCAGTAAATGATTTGTAGGACTACCCACCACCGATCTCGGCCTACAGCCGATCTCATTCCCCCACCAAGTGACGACAGTGCCGCACCAAGGCACGCAGGGTCTGTAGGCAAACGGCCTTCTGCTCCTCTGTGCCGCCCAGGCGACTCTTCAGCTCTAGCAGCTGTGGCGCCGACACCTGGATATCGTCGTAGTGGTGGGTGAGGGAGTGAGAGTGAGAGTGAGTAAGTGAGTGAGTGAGTCAACACGTTAAAGGAAAGGTTTCCACTACCAAGGACCTTCCGTTCGTGACCGAACTTTGGAGTCCAACCCCTCAAACCAGGCCTGGAACTTGTGGCCGAACCAACCAGGGGATCAAGTTCAGTCACTGCGAAGATCCAGGAACATATATAGATTTTTTACAATTGGATTGTACCGTCAGGTGGATCAATTATAAGGGGTCGCGGTAGTGTCTGCAGCGGTTCGTCCTTGCCATCGACAGAGTTATCCCATCGAACAATTCGGCACCTAGAGCCCACGCACCTAGATGCGAAGTCGTTGTGTCAAATGAAACCAAGGAAAAACAACTGCATGGTGAATAATACAATATTATACACAAACGTTTCACGCACTTTGAACATGGTGATCTATCTGTGAACATGTGATGGGTCTATACTACGCAGCCATACATGTTTCACTCAGCCCATTCTCCATCACCTCCGCTGGTGCGGCCCACCTCCGCTGGTTTGGGTGGCGTCTCCTCCTTCCTGGTTTTGGTGAGAGGGAAGGCCGTGTCCAAGCAACAGCGGCAAACGCAGCAAACGAGGTTGAAACAGTCATGATAAAAGAACAAAGCTGTTGCATATACAAAGTCTCAGGGTTCAGCAACTCAAAAAATAACGGAAGGCTACTGCCTCATGGATTGATAAAGGAATTGTGTGTTTTGAGACGCTGCATCAGTGTATATCATCCAAAAGCACATGTCGTGGATGGAGTTTGACGACTTATTCATGAACCAATGAATGACTTCTAAACATTTGTCTATCGGATGTCCATGGAGCTTCATCAAGATGCCTCCCCCAAAAAAGTCATTGACCCAATATGTCCTCAAATCTAGAGCCCATTTGACCTCTGTGTTGATAGAAAAGCACCATAATTCGTTTGGGTGGTTGGTGGTCCAAAATAGAGGTCACTCAGCTTTCGGAAGCCTCCACAAGACCGAACGTCCCCCGACCACGGAACGCCAGTGCCAAACGGCGCAGTGGTCGTCCCCAAAGTGCCCGAGCCCCAGAAGGTCGTCCTGCGGAAAAGAGAAGCAAACGGCCGTTCTTATGTATCAGGTATGGTGGTATAACTACATATTAATATGTATATACCAAGCGTTGTGGCACAGGTTGTCCCTGGAATAACCCAGGGACCCAGCAGGGTGAATATTGAATGGTTCTGTGTATCACCAGTGCAGTCCCGGTAGGACCCGCCGATGTCTTTGGAGCGGCCAACTTGGACAACCACTCAGCCTTGCTCTCACGGCAGGGATGTTGGTCCTGGCAGTCTGTTCGCGTGGGACACGACACGGGTGAGTAAAGGAAAGGATCCCAAAACCCCGAGATTTGTCAACCACCCCCATCTGTCAACCTTCTTGCTAAAGATAGCATATAGTCAGTCGAGATGAAGAAACTGGCGTGCTTTGGAGGGATAGCGAACGGTGGTTGATTCTAAGTGAGGTCGATATTCCAAACGCTGGCCTGTTGTTAAACAGAAAGGATACTTGCAAAGGGAGGTATGCAGCGGGCCTGTTGTTAAACATCTGCGATATCGAAACCCCAACTTCACACTGCTCTGTGTTTAAAGAGATGGGCAAACTAGACATTCCTGCGCCAAACCAGCTGCATCTCTTTACAGAACCTGCTGACCGGACCATGGGCCGAAAGAGAACAGATCGGAAGCAAATCAGCCGTCCATGTGTAATTCATGTGAATGGAACCTGGACGGCCAACATGTGCCCTATGCTTGGTTGTGGCCAAACCTGTCACCAAATGCAGGTTTGAAGCTTTATCACTTCAACCGTCGAGAAAGAACATGGATATTTATCATAGACTTTGTCTCAACCATGTGTTTACCTGAAACTATACTTGTCAGGGACTGGGAAATCATCCCTTACCTCGACCGTGACAAGCCCTACACCCTGCCCCAGCTGCAAACACCCCGTCCACCAACTGAATCCAAACACTCAACAGATCGCTCTCAAGGAAGGAGAGACTGCTTTGGGAACGTTTGCTGTGAGTTTGGAGGCTGCAACATGGTGCGCTACCTTCTCACTCTACAGGCCCAGTCTGACCCCAAAAGAACCCGGTCCTAAAAACCTCATTGGTGTCTTTGTAGGACCACAGGCAGCAAAATGAGGTCTTTAATCTTTAGGGTCAGATTCTTTGAACAAAGGGATTCCAGGATCCTCATCCGACCTCTTCTGTTCGTCTCAATCGTCTCATCCAGTGACCTTCATCTCATGCCGACCGTGACCTCCTGGAACCTCAAGATCGATCGCTCAAGTCTCATCCTGGTGAGACACCTCGGACCGGTTGGTCGTTTGACCCACCGACCGATCAGATGCCCTCCGCGCCTCGAAACGGTGCTTCAGGCAAACCTGCGATGTCCGGTGATCCCGAACGCGCCAGGTTGCTGAGTATCGTGGTTGACAGGTCCACAATGGTACCAGCTGTATCATTGGACATACGCGAACGTCCGAATCAAAAGGCCATGCGGCATGGACCATCGGCAATGGTCTGTATCGAGGATTCTGTGGTGTTTTGAGACTCCAGGTGCTGAATTTGTGGTAGATGGTAACGTCTTCAATTTGTATATGGTCGGTTTAGGAGATCGTGAAGGTGAGGGATTTAAAGGGTCTTTAATCACATGTTGTATCAATCTCTTTGTATATTTTTGTACAAAGACTCTGTGTAACTTCGACGTACCATGGCGTACCCTTCGTGAACGTTAGACTTCGAAAACACATGGCCCTTGCGAAGATCCCATTCTTCTACAATGCAAACCACTAAGGAGTAGGAGGCCTTGGTCTTGCACTCTCCGCAAACGACGGAGTTCATCGCAGTCAACTTGCTCTTGCAGCCCTTCGCTGGGCAAATCCTGGGATCGCAGGATCGACACATCTCGCGGCCCAGCGGTAGATGTGAGGCACTCTCACAGGAAAGGGTAAATAAGTTATCATCTGAAAGGACCTGCTAAGACCATAGATCGGTTACTGTAGGGATACTCATGGATGTATTTCTGCACCACCTGCTATATCGAATCCGCTACCAGACGCACTCACTTCTCTTGCCCCGCTCACTTCGCGTGCCCGAGCGTCTCAGCAGCCGCTTTGGGGGACGCCGCACAGGCCTTAGACTGGGAGCGGTCTCACCGTCACAGAAACCCCAACGAACGGTCGACTGCGGTCTCACATGAGAGCCCTCGTTCCTTGGGGAAGTCGAGATAGGCCCCCAAATGGGGATAAATGGGGTAGACCAGAAGTCGTCCTCCAACTGTCACGAACTGGCTGATGTTTTTGTTCGCAGGAATTTCCTCTCTTGTCAGTCTCCTCAACTGATACGGCATTCAGATCTGAAAGACAATATTTTGATCGTACAGGGGTATCGTTTTGTATTGCTTCATGTGAAGCGAGACCAGCAAAGCCAAGACAAACGAGAGAGAGAGAGAGAGGATGTAAGCGAAATGCCTGATTCTTTAAGCTCCGGAGGGCCATAAAGTGATACACTTGTATAGCCCATGTCTTAAGCAGGGGGTACCTAGGACCCCCCAGAATTCATTTTGATCTGCTTCGGAGTATACTCCCACCTTTTCAAACATCCGCAACCATCACCTTGTATCTAATTGCATATATAACATATGTGTTTGGTTTTGATGTTCAATATGTTCAACGAAGCTCTGTGCAAAAAGGAGAGGGCCGACTTAAACTTTAGACATATAGAACAGCGCAACAAACATCCACTGGACTTGACTATGCTAACATGCCAAAAGCTACAAACGAAACCATTTCACGTCAATTAATGTCACGTGGCACAACTGTCAGTTTGTCAGTCGTCCAAACAAGCCGCAGCTCAGCAACACCTTTTGCAGAGTCTTGGGCGTTTTGCCCCCAAAAAACAGGTCCGGCCAGTTAGCTTCGTTTCGCAACCAGCCATCAAAGGCAAACTACAAATCGACAGAGCCACCATTTTTATGGCCAAACCAAAGCTTTAGAGCAAGCCGGCGCTCACAGGTGATCCGCGGCATCTCTTAGTTCCGAAGCAAAAATTTTGCAGTGCAGGTTGATTAGCTGCGCCTATCACAGCATCACATGCAAGTGCCAGTCATCTAGACAATGGCAGCCACCATGCTGGCTTACCCGCTCTCACTATGGCAGCCAGGCCTGTCATGTTTACCACTTCAGAGTGGTATATTCACTGTGATTGGCCGTATGTGAAAAATCACATACAAGCGTGTGCGTGAAGATCCATGTTGGTTGAAAGCATCTATTGTATGTCCGCTTCACACCACCACAAAATGCAGAGAGTGTTCTACCTAAGTTTGGCAAACGGGACATCTTGTTTCTCAGCTCCAGGCACATCCAAGGCAAGGCGCCCACGGGCAGCCTTCTGGTCATGCCTTACAAAGCAACATTCTCTAAAGTTTAATATTAAGCAGCTGAACCAGTGCGTCCATGCTAATTCCATTTGAAGTATTCTTTCTCAGTCTTCCAAATCTAAGGCTAGAAAAGTTCCGTGCGTTCAACAAAATCCATGAAAAACCATGGTTTTAAGCATTACGTCAGTACAAAACATCCTGCTAACCAGCGATCATGTCCAGGCAAGCAGTAGGCAGTCCAAGATAATGCGCACACATATGCAAACATGCGCAAACAAGATCGGGTCTGCAATTACTGTGAACATGTGGAGCAGCCCGAACACAAAGCTCACTTTTCACCAACGCTGCAACGTTGGTCAGACCCCGAGGACAAGCACCGGCGGCGAGTGCTTCACAACCAGCCCCACGAACTCCTGCACCCGCTGTACCTCGCCAGCGAAGGTAATGGGTTACGTAAGCATGTCCAGAAGAGTCTACGCTATACACAATCTCCATGCGGGGTGGGTGGCTGTGGCTAGCTGTGGGGGGGCCGAAAGGCATCTCATGGTTGGCAATGGTAAAGGCTTTCCGAATATTTTTTGAAAGAACTCCTGCGTCAAAGTTGGAAACTTGGCCATAGTACCATATACCATCAACAGCCAAGCTGCATTCTTCTTGGCCCCTTCCCCAGGCGCCAATTCTGCCAAGCGGTGCACCACGACCTCACCAAACTCTGCGTTGGAGAGGCTCTTTCCAGCTGACTGGAAATAGCCAGGCGCCTGCGCACAGAAGGCTTGCCACGTAGTGCCCGCCGGAAGCTTCAACCGCTTCAAGAGATCCACGTCGGCCTTCTGGTACAACTTCGGAAGCTGGCCAAGCCAATGCTGTATCCGTGAATACCCCTCCTTGTGGCGCCCAAAGCTGTTGGCTGTCAAGAACTCAGAGTCAGATGGCCGTGGCAACTGCGCCGGCACCAAATTTCCCGACGAAAGCTTGCTCAGCATGTCGGTCTGCTCGGGCGCAAAGCAAACTTTCAACATGAGGCCAACCTCCTGCAGCTTCTTGGGCTCCATCTCACATACGATTGACTCCATTGGCTCCACAATGTCGAGCGCTCGTAGACACGACGCCGTAAAGACACCATTGCCATGGTCCTGCATCCTGACAATGTGCGCCACCTTGATGACCGCAGCCGGGATTTCTGAGCCAACAGGCTTTGTGACAGTACGCTTGGTTTGCGTCACGCTGCCCCTGAACAAAGTGGAGACAAGCCCAACTCCATACTTCAGGCCTGGCCCATCTGGCTGCCGATACACGACGAACTGCATCTTTGGAGCGGATGCTGGCCGCAAATTCTGTGCAGCACGAACATATTTACCATCGCTCTGGCAGGAAGATGCAAGCTGTTCACAAAAGGCCTTTTGATGCGCAAGCCATCTTTCTGCTCTAGACACATTGGCGCCGCTGATGCCAGCATTCTGTCTTGCGAGCGCCAGCTCGTGAGCAATGAAGTGGTAAGGGCTCTTACAAGTGGCCCCCCTTACCCCGAACCTGGGCAGGTGGCAAGATTCCTTCTGACAGCCGTACGCGGACACAAAATGCTCGGCAAGGCTCAAGCAACTGATGGAGGCGAGTTAAACAAGAAGAAGCCTTCATGGCTGCCTCCTGGTCGAAATCAAAAGCAGGATGCGTGCAGTGGCTTAAAATCTCCATCAGGCTTCTCGGGCTCGCGTGGTCTTCAATAGGCACCACCTCCATGGTGTCAGCTTCATGCTGATCATGCTCTACACAGAGCTCTTCAGCTTGAAGGGAACGCAAGAGCTCAACGCGGTCTTCCGCAACAAGAATCCTGGATTCCGTTTGGCTGGAGACAACTGTCTTCTCTAACCGCTCGCTTGCAGAGGCATCGGTGATGTCCAGCTCCGGTGACTCTAGGTCCTCCTCCTCGTGGTCACCGGCCTCATCAGTCGAGCTTCCAGCGGCCTTCTCACTGGAGATCAGACATCGCCCTTCGCGGTGCCACCACTTCTCCCTCGGAGAGCCCGGCGTCGGTCACATGGTCAAAAACACAGGGGTGACAAAACCGGTTAATGACACAGCGGCTCCCGCGGATGAAGGTTCAAGGTGGAAGGTGTTCAAAATGGAAAAGTGAAGAAGGAACATGAAAGAACATGATCACAAATCAACTGTCCTTCCTGCCAGTGATTGTCGCGCCACACATCCAAGGCGCCACTAGCTCTACAAAATCGCATTTGATACCACTATCTCAGCAGCGCCACAGCGGTGCCACTAGCTCTACAATGTCAGATTTGATAAGGATACGACTATCCCAGCGGTGCCACTAGCTCTACAAGGGGACGGCGCCTCACTTGCGCACGCAAGATTCGCTCAGCTGCGCACGCAGAATTTCATGATACATTTCACTCACCTGCGCACACAGGATTCGCTCACCTGCGCACACGTCCATTGCATTCTTCCATTACATTCTTCTTTGAACAGTGCATGTTACCTCAAACTCAGCCGCGCACACAGATTTCGCTCACCTGCGCACACACAAATTGAGTTGATGTGATGTGTACGCGATATGTGATTCTTGCATGATATGTCGTTGGGTCAGGTCTCCACACACATGCTCGCGTTAATAAAGGTGCTCTGGAGATTCAACTGCATGATGATCTCTTTTTGCTCATTGATTCCAGGCAGTACCATGCAACACAGATGCTCTGCATCCTTCCTTCCTTCCTTCATTCTTTCTTGCTTTCTTTCATTTCATTCGTTCATTCATTCTTTCATTTCATTCAATCATTCCTTCCTTCCTTCTTTCCTTCCTTCCTTCCTTCAATCATTCAATCATTCGTTCAGCAGAGAAAAGCGGCGCGCACAACCGAGCAAGTCCACGCGCGTGTGAGCAAATTCCGCGTGGGCTCCACCCCTCTACAAAGTCAGATTTGATAAGGAAGGTGATGGATGTGATGGAAGGCGCGCAGCATACAACCAAAACGTTCATTTTGGGGTGGCTTTCGTCGATGAGCAAAAACCCAACTATTGTGTCGTTTCGGCGTGACCTGCCCGAGCCGGCTCAAGCATCTTCGAGAAAACAAAGCTGTCTGTCCTAAATCCGTGCTGCCAAGGCGCAGCTCTGCCGCAGCTTCCTTGGGCCGCAGGTTGGTGGAGACGCTGCAAAAGAATCTGCAAGCGGCGCCCAAGGCACGCTCGGCCAAGACGGATGCCCGATCTACTCCCAAGGCTTCCACAAATTCGCCTTGCGGCGTCGGAACACCTTTCTGATGGAGCCGCGCATGGTGGGCTTGAAAGCCATAGAGAGCATCCTTGAAGGAAGGGCTTCCTCTAAAAGGCTTCTTCGCTTCTCCGTACATGTGCTCACAAATTCTTTCTTCCCTGCAGCGAGGCATCCATGGGACTTCTCGGTCCCAATAAATATGGGCCAACACCGCATGGCCTGCCAAGCTGAGCAAGTTACGCACAGTAGTGATGCGCCAGAAGTGCTTTGAGCTATTCGAGCCGTGCTTGGTTCTGGCAGTGGAGAAGCCAAGAAGGACCAAGTAGTACGCGGACATCACATTCAAAAACTGTTCCTCTCGGCTGAAACCACGGCAAGCCTGCCAGCCTGAGAGTAGCAAGCAAAGCACCACTGCACAAATCACAGGTCCAGGATCTTGCCAACTGCCACCGAAGAAGCCAGGATTGAGCCGATAAGCCGCTTGCTTGTCTGACATTGGGTTGGCATGGACATAGGCCTTCACACTGAGGCCGCT